CTCATACACAAAGTCATATTCTACGAGGTGTAAGGAGACCTCACAAAAGGAAAGGGAAGTGTTTTGTTTTTGTCTTGACAGGAAAAACCCATCTCCAAACAGCGAGAAGATACTGAATGTGTAGATAGCTAAAGAAAGGAGAATGGCTACCCAAAGAACATCAAACAATGAATGTTTGGTATCAATGTCTAATTCTCTCAACTTATATCCTTATAAAATCTATTTCTCTTTACTTCCTAATACTCTTTTGGTACCAATTCACTTAAACCAAAGCTGACTTTGAAGTTGAATTTGGCTCTCCTCTAAATCAAAGAATGGTGTTAAATAAAATTCAGAGTTTCTTTATTATATCAAGGAAACAATGGATGTAAGACAGAAGAAAACAAAATTTAGGAACTGTCATCTATTTATATGGTTCCTTTTCTGAAAGTCTAATCTCCCTCATATTTACTATCTTCCTTATTGCTGCCTTTCCCAGTATGCATACATATAAAAGTTGAAATTTCTTTGTTGACATTAACGTTTGAGTTTTTCACAGAGAACAAAGAATTTCCTAACAGCAGTCTTCAAAAACTTTGGAAAGAAAATAGGGCCCCACTTCATTGACTCCACCTGATCTGACTTGACGCACCTGAACTGACAATTACCACCCTGAAACCGGTTTGGGACTACATAGCCCTACACAGCTCCAGACTAATTAACTGATAGGGTGTGCCTGCTACAATCTGGCCAGAGCCTCGGACAAGAGCTTCAACCAACATGAGAACTTCAGTCAAGAACTTCAATTGAGCATCTCCCGCCAAACAGACTGAGTACATATCTTGCTTGAGACTTTCACTACACTAAAATTTTCTTCCTACAGGATCCCATGAGGTTATTGTCGTACCATTTCAGCAGGTAGTAATTTTGAGAATACTATGCCCCCTTTCCCTGCTGTTGATTTTACAGGATAATTTACACCTGCTAAGGTTAGCTTTCAATTATTTAGGATTGGGATTGGAAGAAGGTGTTCAGACTTGGGCATCTCTTTCAGATAAGCCTAGGGTTTAGATGGGATAGATATGCTTAGGATAGGATATAGGTAGATTATAATTTGTTTATCACCTTCTATGTATATATGCTTTATATATGTTTGAGACAATTTAGTTGGTTTCAAGTGTAAATATTTTCTTTAGACTAAAAGGGGAATTGTAGGTAGAGATCTCATGTACCTGCAGCACTGACCTCAGTTCTTGGCCTCTCACATAAGTGATTTCTCCCTAATAAAATAACTTACGACTCCCTGTCCTGTGTATGGTAGGTAATCTTCCACGTCACCCCTGGGGTGCGGAGTGGGGACTGGGTGGGGGCTTGGGGGCAGGGGAGGAGGGGAGAGAGAGGGATCTGGGATTGACATGTGAAGCAAGCTTGTTTCTAATTTAAATTTAAAAATCCAAAAAAATCAGAGACATGCCTTCCAAATGCTGGTATTAAAGGCATGCACCACCATGTCCTGCTCCCATTTCATTTTTTTATACAGGTCAGGATGGCCGGAAACCCTAAACTGGTATCACCCACTTTTAGGTTAGTCCTTCTCACATCGATTAACATAAGCCAAGCCCCACAGGTCAACCTCAGCTTGACAATCTCTTGTTGAAACTCCCTTCCCATGTGATTCTGTTTGTTTTAAGTGGACAATTAAAACTACCTATCACCCCAGGGAAAGAGTCAAGGTCTGTGTTTCTGTAAACAGTGGAGAGGAGAAACAATCAACTGAAAAGATGCAACTCTCACTTTACAGAAATTGGGCCACTAAGCTCATGCCTTTGCAACACCCCATTTCCTCAAGCTTCTTTCTAGGATCATCACAGCTATAAAAATCTCAATTCTAAACAGCCATTCTGGACATAGCACTGTCACTTCCCCAAGAGTGCAGTGTCTGGTATTTGTCCAGGAGTCAGATTTTTTTCCGGAAACAAACACTCAATTCACATAAAAAGCATGGTTCACAGCTGGCCAGGGTTACTGTTTGGTGCTTTTATTTTTCTTTCTATAATTTCTGTCTAGTGTGTTAGAAAATCCTGAGGGGAGATGTGATTTTTTAAACTAAAATTGTCTACAATTTTCATTATATTCTACAAACTCCAAAGTTTAAAAGTACACTGAACACTTTATAGAAATGACCTTCAATGTTCTGGCTAATTTCTTTATGATATAATCTATAACTTTATTGTGTTTAGTGAGTTTAAAAAATCACTTTCGACATAGATAAGTGATAGTGCCAGGCAGTGATCAAAATCCATCTCGAACACAGATAATAAAAGCACACAAATAACAGTAGCATCCTACTTTGATTTGCTTGTGTGTGAAGCAGGGCTAGTACCAAAATCTTTTGGCTCTTATAACCCAGAATTCTTTTCCCAGACAATTTTGTGAACAGATTCCACGCAGGGACCAAGATCAGATTTCTTGGCCAGGGTTAACTTGACAACTCAGCTATATGAGACCTTCTGAGGAGTGAGAGATAAAGTGCTCAGAACAAGATGTTCAGAACTGCGAGTTCATTCAGGACCTGTTTTAGCTAGTTTACTATTGCTGCGAAGAGGTACCATGACCAAGGCAACTTATAAGACAGTGTTTAATTGGGGGCTTGCTTACAGTTTCAGAGGGTCCATGGCTATTATGGCAGGAAGCATGGCAGCGGACAGGCAGGCATGGTACTGGAACAATAACCAAGAGCTTACATTTTATTTGGAAGTTAGAGGCAGAGACACTGGACCTGGTATGGGCTTTTGAAACCTCAAAGCCCACCTCCAGTGACATATGTCCTCTAATGACGCCATACCTCCTAATCCTTCCCAAGACAGTTCCACTAACTAGGGACCAATTATTCAAATATATAGCCTACAGAAGTCATTCCCATTAAAACCACCAGAGTCTTATTATAGACTGTATGTGTTCCCACCAACATGGACACCTCTACAATCTGTACTGGGATGTCATCTTAACTGAAGATATATTGCAGGGGTGCTGTTGGCTTTTTATTCTTTATTCTTCATTCTTTTGGGAGGCCCACCAGCCAGCTGCCAAAGAAATCACATACAGAGGCTTATTCTTAATTATAAATGTCCAGCCTTAGCTAGGCTTGTTTCTAGCCAGTTTTTCTTAAATTAACCCATCTACCTTTTGCCTCTGTGCTTTTTCCTTTCTCTTCTGTAAATCTCACTTTTTCACTCTTACTCTGTGGCTGGCTAGGTGGCTAGCCCCTAGTGTCCTCCTCTAATTTTTCTATCTTGCTTCTTTTTTCTCTTCCCAGATTTCTCCTTCTACTCATTCTCTTTGCCAGACGGCCCCAGCTATCCTTTCTCCTGCCTCACTATTGGCCATTCAGCTCTTTATTAGACTATCAGGTGTTTTAGACAGGAAATCACAGCTTCACAGAGTTAAAACAAATGCAACATAAAAGAAAGCAACACATCTTTGCACCATTAAAACAAATGTTCCACAGCATAAGCAAATGTAACACCCCTTAAAATGCTATTCCACAACATGGAGGTAAAAATTAGGCAAAAACAGGTGGGCCTAGGACCAAAGTAGTTGAAACCAAAATAAACAAAATGTCCAAAATAATATGAATGTCTTGTACCTGGAAAGACATCCACATGGACTGGGGTAGAAGTATGTGACTAGGACCTAGGGCCAGATACTGGTGAGATTCTGAATCATAGTGTAAGGAAGTGGGTAAGGCTCAACTAGTGCCTCAGAATAGTTGCCTCCAGCACTGTGGAGAGAGAAATGAAAGAACGGTGAAGGCTATAAAAAGAAGGTTCTGGTTTGGGAAACAAAATGACATTTTCAGTATAAAAAACTAGCCACCAGGTTGAGAGTTTGGGTATCTTTTGGGAATGCTTCTGGCTATAACAGAGAAACACCTAACAATGGGCAAAGTCCAGAGATAAGCAGAACTAGGATTTTATTACTTTTGAGACAGTGTTTGTCTATGTAACCTTTATTAGACTGGACCTGGTACTATAGTTAAGGCTGGCCCCATGCTTGTTACAATTTTTCTTTCTTCACCCTACTAAACTCTAGGATCAAGAGCAGGAACCTCCATGACTGGCTTCAATCTTATGATTCTGTCTCTTTGTCTGTCCGTTTGCCCCTCCCTTTCTGTCTCTCTCTCTCTCTCTGCCTCTCTGCCTCTCTCTCTTCCTCTGTGTGTATGCATGTGGAGACCAGGTATCAACCTTGGGTGTCATTCTTTGCGATCCACAATGAGTTTTAAGAGACTTTCACTAGGGCTCACTGACTAGACTAGGCTGGGTAATCAGCAAGCCCCAGAGATGCTCCTATCTTTGTCTCCATACAAATGGGATTACAAGCACACACCAATATGCCTTGATTTTTATATGGATATCTGGGAATCAAAGTCTGGTCCTAATGGTTGTACAGCAAGCATTTTACCAAATGAGCCAGCTCCCAAGCCCCAATCCTACATTTCTTTGAGTATCTCAGTATTGTCACTGAAATTTCAGGGTTTTTTTCATCCTTAACTTCTAATATTCTTCAGTACATTGTCTTTTTATGGTTCTAGTTGATGCCCTGGGAGAACATGACATAAGAATGAGGCAGATTAAAGTCTTATTCAATATCCAACTTTATTCAGAGCATCAGACAATTTATACTCTGGGGATTAAGAATAATCACATGAGTAAGGTGTGTAATCACAAGGACAAGCCACACATGGCATAAAAACCATGTTTTTCCACAGAAGCACATGAATAACAACAGTTGAAATAAACTTACTCCTATCTGCCACTCCTGGGAGGAGCACAAGAACACAATCCTAGAACAATTCCATGGTTTGTTTTTTGTTTTTGTTTTTATTTTTTATTTTATTTTATTTTATTTGGTTTTTCGAGACAGGGTTTCTCTGTGTAGCTTTGCAGCCTATCCTGACACTCACTCTGTAGCCCAGGTCAGCCTTGAACTCACAGAAATCCGCCTACCTCTGCCTCCCAAGTGCTGGAATTAAAGGTGTGTGCCACCAACGTCTGGCCAATTCCATGTTTTGAAGAAACTAGGTCACAGACTTGTGTTTTCTTGGAGTTTTCTTACAAGCACTCAGAATGCCCCTCACATGACTCCATTCTTGAACTGTTCAGACATCTATCTCACCCTTTTTAATTTTTTCATTACAGGATATCCAGGGGTTTTGATCTGAGATGTTGTAGATAAATCTAGTTGTCATTTGATGAGTATCCTATAAGCAAGAAAGCATTGTGTGAAATACTCTGCCACCAAGAAACACCAAGAACAGAGATACAAACTATGTCCTGTACTATTAGTTTCATTATATTGATCAGAAAATTCTAGAGAATAGCTTGAAAAGAGACCCATATGATTAGTAGTTCTAGTATCTTGTAGAACATAAGCCCATATTTTTCTTTAATAGGAATACAAGTGCTATAATGGTCTATGCAAATAGGAAGTAATTTCAATCCCAAGGAAACAATAAATGCAGTCCCTTCTTCAGATGAATGAATGAGTATTTTATGGTCTCAAGGACCATCCATAAACACAGAGTCATTAGTAATGTAGCTTCTCCCTTGGAGCACAAGGCTATAACTTGGCCTTAGTTGTGCAAATTTGACTTCTGGTGATACGGTCAATATCTCCTTTTTTTCCCCTTTTACTTGATGGAGGTATGCTATCTTTCTGGTGACTTCCACTGTGTCCTTGGTGTCCCAGGACTGAAGGATCGGAAGAGGAATACATAATGTTTCAGTGCATCCATCTGTAATGACAGAAGCATACCCCTTCCCAATTTTCTTCTGGAGAAGTAAAAATAGAGCAAACTAATGCATCAGCTTGCTTATTTTCTTCTGCAATAAAACCAGGGAGGTTGGAGTGTACAAGGAGTATGAATCTGTTACTAGAAATAATAAGCAGAATCTGAAACAGTATTTAAAAGTTTATTAATTAACTGTAATAGATGAATCAACACAGTCAGTCCCACCTGTTGGGCTAAGGAAAAAGAAATATTAACAGACTGATGAATATCTGGACCATGAATCTCCCATACCATTAGATTGAGCCATCAATAAAATGAGTATCTCCCTGTGGAATGGGAGAAGGCTGGATAATTTTTGTAGTCATTATTTCAGTTTGTACAAAAAAGTCCCATAGCTTACCAGCTGGATAATGATTTCCTATCCTTCCATATAAACTGCAAATGGAATTTGAAAATCCATAGAGTTCTGTAACACTTTTAAAAACTGGTTGTTAGTTAAGGGTAATATAATACAGCAAAGATCAAATCCATATAATTGTGGACATCAGTTTGTCCCCTGATTTACTAATTGAACAAAATGAGTAAGGAAAGTAGTTACTATTTTATGGCCCTTGTGGTAAAAATAGATCTATTCCAAAGGTTTATACTTTTGTGCTGTAATACCTGTGGGAGACAATTTAGTGAGGAAAATAAGTAAGTTTAAAGGCAGTTAAAGGGACACACAATATATAAATGCCTTTTTTAGTCTTGATTCAGATAACTGTAATTCTTTTCGAGGACTGTCCAATGCAGCCTCTCCTTCTACAGTTTTAAGTAGATTGTATAGTGCATAATTAGGTAAACATTTTGATCTTGCTGAAATTGCACTGGAAGTACCAAAACCAACTCATGAGGCTGGGGAGGAACTGGGAAATAAATTCCATTTTTCTGGCCTGCCCTAGCTTGTCTAGGTTGTAAACTTAGAATTTTCATAGGCTCTCCTAAATCCTCATCAGGAAGCGAAAAGACATCAGGATTAGATTGATTATAAAATTTCTCACCCCATGATTCAGGGTCATTTTCAGGCAATGGAGGATCCATATATAAAGGTGGCTCTGGTAAGGGGTTTGAAGGAACTGTCACTGTCATAGTTGTCATTGGTGCTGATTTGACTTTTGATTTTGCCTGAATGGGGAAAATATATTTTTGTCTCTTTTATCAATTTTAAGGTTTGATCACCCAGTTCATATTCATTCAAGGAATTAACCATCTCTTCTTCATGATTAATTTCCTTCTTATCTTCCTTAAGCATTTTAATGAGTCTAAATTAATGCCCAGGTGACCCAAAATTGAACAGGGATCTTTTCCCCTTGTTATTGTTGCCTCTCTGATATTCTTTCAGACTCTGCCCCCTGTTTCCTAATCTAAAGTTCCTTCTTCTAGAAACCAGTAATTATGGGGCTGGAGAGATGGCTCAGCAGTTAGGAGAACCTGGGTTCAATTCCCAGAAGCCCCATAGCTGCTGACAACTGTCTGTAACTCCGGTTCCAGGAGACCCAGCACTTCATATAGATATACATGCAGGCAAAACACCCATACACATAAAATAAAAATAAATACATTGTAGAAATCCGCCATGATATTTGTGCTCCTCCTTTCTTAAAAAAAAAAAAAGATGATACACAAGCTCGACATAAGGCAGAGCCTTCCCAAGTTGTGCGCCATTATTCTCACTCACCTCCTTCTCCGAAGGGCCCCACTCTCTTATCTCATAGCTGACTTCAGGTCCCTCATTCATGAAGCCACTTTTCATCACTCTAGTTGGCAGTATGAACCTGGGAGAGCAATAGCCAACGTATTCAGTGCATCAAGCGGTCTGTACTGTGGGCGTTAAGAAGAATCACATGAGTGAACTACACAGTCACAAGGACGAGCCACATGCAGCAAAAACCTGTTTTTCCAAAAAGACACATGAACAACACCAGCTCAAGTAAACTTGCTCCTATCCTCTACACCTGGGAGGAGCAGGAAAACACATTCCAAGAACAGTTCTGAGTTCAGAAAAATTAATTTACAAGACTATTGTCTTGTTTTCTTGGGTTTTTCTCACAAGCACTCAGAATGCTCAGGCAACTCGACTCTCAGACTGTGGCCTTAGGTGTGTTGCATCATTTCCTCATGTTAGTGTCCCCAAGAGCAGAAAACAGGGTATTACAGTTTGAATCTGAAATGTCTCCCACAGGCTCATGTTATTTTATTTTATTTCTAATATCTGGCTCCCTAGCTGGTGATTCTATTTAGGGAATTGTAGAACCTTTAATAGTTGGAGTCTATCTAGAAGAAGTAGGTCACTGAGGAACAGTCCTTATGGATACAGGGAAGTCCCGTATATATGTCAATAAAGCACTGTTGGCCAATAGGGAAGCAAGATAGGTGGGACTAGGAGTCGAGGAGGATGCTGGGAAAGAGAGACACAAGCAGACACAATGTAGGCCGCCAGAGGAGTAAGAGGTCTGGACCCTTTTCTCAGGTAACAGAAATACTTAGATTAACAATTATGGGTTAAATATGTAAGTCAGAGCTAGCCAGTAAGAAACAAAGCAAATGGCCAACAGTCTCATACTTAATATAGTGTCCTGTGTGTTATTTGGGGGTTCAGACAGCTTGGCAGGGCCCAGGCAGCTGGCAGGGAATACTATACGTTACAATACAGTATTCCAGGAATCTTGTCATGCTTTTTCCCCTTTGTCTATGCCATGTCTATCGCCCCTCACACTCCCATCATCATTCCTTCGGCTCCATGACAAGCTGAAATCACTCTGAACTGTGAGCCAAGTAAAATAATTCCTCCACAAAGCCATTTCTGTCAAGTATTTGGTAATTAGAAAATTAATACATAGGGAGAAGTATTTCTCAGAAAAGTTCTCCTGATATTGCCTTGACAACAACCATGTCATATAACTACCTACAAGGTCACGTAGGATATTTTGTTTTATTATTTTCCTAATGTGATGAAGACAAAGGGAAAGAGGAATCGTTAATGGACAATGAGGTGACAGCATCTGCCACAGTATGGCAAAGAGGCTGAATCTTGAAAGGCAATGCTGAGGCTCAGGGATTCCCCATCAGCCAACCCAGACATGACAGCCAGACCAATTTCAAATTGCATTTCCCTGTAGGAATGGGGATCCTAATACCCTTGTCTGCATGGCCTACTCTTGTACTGGACTAAGTTGTGGAAAAGGTCTTTACCATAACAAATGTTCATAAAAAACTTCCTGAAACTAAATACAGCAGTCTCAAAATACTGTCTTCATGCACGAAGTAATATTAAAAATGTAGATTTTGCCCTTCTGGATGCCTGACTGCAGCCACCAGTTAGGGCTTCACCCCTGAATCCATATTAGGAACTTCCAAGCTTACACTTGCCCTACTCAGGTGAGGGGTGGCATGAACATCCCAGGGCTTACCAACGCCCCTGCCAACCTTAGAGTCCTATAAGAAATCAAGGCCACATAGTAGTTTCTGTGGTGGGCTTTTGAGATAGCCTGACAACTGAGTGTCTTGATGAGCCCTATCCTCACAGACATAATTCCAAGTCATGGCTGTAGTTAATGTCTAAGTGACATTTGTTATGAATGAGAAATAAATTTTATGCCCTTTACCAAATGAGATAGAGAAATTAAGAAATTTTTCAAGGTAACACAACTACTTAAGCAGCAGAGCCAAAATTTGAAGCTAGGCAGCTTGGCTCTGAAATCTATTCTCTTCATCACTATACTTTCTCTTGTCCAAGGAAATTTTGCAAATATAGCTATAAGGAAAGGAAGAAGCAAAAACTGAATGAGGTCCTGAGTGAATGTGTATTGTTGACACAGGCACAACCATGACACACACAGACACACACACACACACACACACACACAAAACAAAGCCTCGCCGGGTGTTGGTGGCGCACGCCTTTAATCCCAGCTCCCGGGAGGCAGAGGCAGGCGGATCTCCGAGAGTTCGAGGCCAGCCTGGTCTCCATAGTGAGTTCCAGGACAGCCTCAAAAAGCCACGGGGAAACCCTGTCTTGTAAAACTAAAAAAAAAAAAAAAAAAAGCCTCAGGCCCATGGTAAATGGGCAAAACCTATCCCCATATGGGACACACTCAGGAGTGAGAAAACCTGCTTCCTCTAGTTCAAGTACAAGTATTTACAAATGATTGATTTAGTGTGTGCAAAACCTAGCAACCACAGATTCCTCCTCATGGATGTTTAGGACTTGAGACTGCTCATCTCCAGAGACTTCCTACTGAGTCTAGCTAATATGCCCCACCTCCTACCCACACCTCCCCTGCTGTATATAATAAACACTGTTGAGGTCATGGGATGTAGAGGAAGTCAGTGCACCTCCATCACCGCATGCATAGAACACCTGATCCCATTTTTTTGGTACATGTGTCTATCATTTCTTCATCAACTCGCTGCCTCTAGTCAGGGTTTCTTACCCAAGCTTTGTAGGCCAGAGCACATAGCCAAAAATAGCTTTCTGCCCATAGAGGCAAACATATAGATGTGTAGTACAAATTTTAATTGATCTTAATAATAAAAACTCAGAATCAGCTATCAGGGGGTGAAAGATCAGAGAAGCAAAGCAGCCACGCACTAGAGAGAGTTCTCACCTCTACTGATGCTCAGACCAAAGGGGCGATCCTGTCCTCAGACTGGTCCTCAGTCTGCGTCCTCCGACTGCATCCTCTGAATGCATCCACAGATGGCATCCTCTGACTGCACCCTAAGACTGTATCCTCAGACTACCCTGTTCCTCATCCTCAGACTGCTGCCTCAGACTGCCATGAGCTGCTGTCTCCTTCTGCCTTATACTCCTCTCTCCACCCAGCCATATGCCTTCCGGTCTCCACTTCCTTAGTGCTGGGATTAAAGGTGTGTGCAATCATTACCTGGCCTCGATGGCTAACTAATGTGACTGGCTTTGCACTCTTCAGACAAGCTTTATTTGTTAGATCATAAACAAAATACCAGTACATAAATGAAGTGGGGAGGAATGATGGGCACCACCCTTTGTTTGTTCAGTGACCACCCCCGTCCAGGCCAAAGCCTTTACCCAGTTCTGTGGCAATAGCTCATGGTGGCATCCATAAAGCTGTAAGGACTATTTTATCTGAACGCGGGCATGCTGTGTTAACAAAAGCCTAAATGGAGAGTGTCTAGTCTAAACATTTGTGAGAAAAGTGGTCTCTGTACTTGGGATGCCCATGGCCAGGCAAGATAGGGTTGTCACTCAGGTTACATTCACCATTCCCATGTAATATAGTCGTTGTGAACTTTTAAAGTAAAACATTTTGCTTCTGCTCATTCCTTCAGAGATTTTATGACTGCCTGCTTAATACTGGCATGAAATAACTCTGGTCTTAACTCTTGGATTCATCCCACATTGATACCTGAAACACAAAGCTTTCTCCAATCAGTTTTAATCACCGTAGATGGGTACTTTTTGTTTGTTTACTTGTGAAATAGCAAATATAAAATTCGCTTTAAGAATACATATATCCTTCACTCAGGGTTCTTTTCGAAACTTGTTTGCTACTTTATAAAATAAACAAAATCTGAGCTATGATATGAGGACTGTTTGTGAATCAATAACATTTTGAGGTAATAATGATGCAAGTGAATCTCCCTCTGATCTTGGATGAAACACTTAGGTAACACTGATTCTTTTCTAGGGAAATACTAAAAGCTCAAAAGCTATATTTAGTCCAGGGCCTGTAAGTAGAATCAGTGTTAGAACACATGCTTAGCATGCATAAGGCCTAGGGTTGATCCCAGCACCATAAATAAGTAACCTAAGTCTGACATTTAGGATTTGCTTTGGGATGGTGTATGAATCACAGGGCAGATATACAATATATGCAACCAAATGATGACTCTCTAATTATAAAATCCAATTCTGGGGCTGCCATTACCTCATCTCAAATTGACTCACTTTAATGGCATATAATGGGTGACACTAATGACATAAATAATTACCAACAAGTACTTCATTCAACCTTTTTGACTACTTAACACTTTCTGTAAAAGATGAGCAATACAGAATGAAGACTTTATTGTGCACTGCTGAAATAGAAATTGGAGTTTGGGGATACAATCCAAAAGCCACTAACTTAGAAGTTCTTTCTGCACTGATTAAGGATAAGGACTGGTCTTGGGTAAGAGGATGAATCACAAAAATTGGCAACCCTGATGTATCCAGGATGTTTCAATCTATTTAGATGTGCCATTCAGATACATAGAAAATGAATATTTCCATCCACATTCTAAATTAGCAGCTCATAACTGAAATGTAGCTTCTGGGTCGAGCAATGTATAATATGCTCCCTTCCTTTCAAGACAATCTGTCTGCAAGATAGAGAAAACCAGTAATCATCTGAATAGGTGAGGGTAGCCTGTGGCAACAACTCCAAAACTTACAACCAGAAAACAGTATTTCTCATTTATGTCTTTCACAGCTCTGTGATGTTCTATTACTTCAGGCTATGGAGGCAAAAGGAAACAAAAGACCATGAACCAAAAGAGGGGTGCCAGAAGGAGGGAAGGGGGACGGTTTAGGAGAATAGAAATGTAATTTATCACAAGTCATGAAAATCTCTCTCAGAAGAGCTTTAAGATTTTTTTAAACTGCCCCTTACAACTCTACTACCTAGGGAAGTGTGTGTGTGTGTGTGCGTGTGCGTGTGAGTGTGTGTGTGTGTTACAGATGTGTTGCTTGTGCATATGCATGTGGAAGCTTACGGTCAATATTGAGTGTCTTTCCCCAATCACTCCACACCCTTATTTTTTGAGACAAAGTCTCTCACTGAACATGAAACTCATCAATTCAGCTAGCTTGGCTGACCAATGCTTCAGCAAACAGCTGTCTACCCCGTACTGTTTTAGGATATTATTTTAAGGTGTGTTACGTTTATGCTGTAGAATATTTGTTTAATGATGCAAAGATGTGTTGCATTCTTTATGTTGCATTTGTTTAACTCAGTGAAGCTACGTTACTTTACCTGCCTGAAACACCCGATGGTCTAATAAAGAGCTGACTGGCCAATAGCAAGGCAGGAGAAAGGATAGCTGGGGCTGGTGGACAGAAAGAATAGGAGGAGAACTCCGAACAAAAAGGAGTAAGATAGAAGGAGAAGAAGGCATCAGGGCCCAGCCACCCAGCCACCCAGCCACCCAGCCACCCAGCCACCCAGCCACCCAGCCACCCAGCCACCCAGCCAGCCATGGAGTAAGAGTGAAATTAAGATAAACAGAAATAAGAAAAGGAAAAAGCCCAGAGGCAAAAGGTAGATGGGTTAATTTAAGAAAACTGGCTATAAACAAGCCAAGCTAAGGTCAGGTATTTACAAGTAATAATAGGTATCTCCATTTGTGATTTATTTGGGTCTGGATGGCGGGCACCCCAAAAGAACCAAAGAGCCTTAAAGAGTAAGGAAAAGTGAGTTCAAGGCTAGGCTGGACCGACAGCCTCCAAAACAATACAGAGAAACCCTGTCTCGTAAAACCAAAACAAAAAGTAAGGAAAAAACAAACAAACAACACCACCCTACCCCAAGGCTGAGGTTACAGGAGCATGCTGCCACATCCAGCTTTTTATATGGATTCTGGAGACCTGAACTCAAGTCCCCCTGCTTGTGTGGCGGGCACTTCAACTGATTCATTTTCCCAGCCATTGAAAAACTTTTTAAAAATATCTATTTTGGGGGCTGAAGAGATGGCTCAACTGTTAAAGGCTAGGCTCACAACCATAAAAAGTATCTATTTGGTCTAATACTGTGTTTGTGGGGGAGGAAGATTAAGTGCACATGTATGCAGGTGCCCACAGAGGCCAGAAGAGGGCGCTGGATACCTTGGAGCTGGAGTTACAGGCTGTTGTGAGCTGCCCAACATGGATGTTAAGGACCAAACTGGTCCTCTGTAAAAGCAATCAGTGCTTTTAACTTCTGAGCCATCTCTCCATTCTCCATCCTAACAAACTCTTCAAGACAGGGTTTCTCTGTATTGCTTTGGAGGTTGTCCTAAATTCACTATGTAGACCAGGCTGGTCTCGAACTCAAAGATCCGCCTGCCTCTGCCTCCCAAGTGCTGGGATTAAAGGCATGAGCCACCAACACCCGTCGCTAACAAATTCTTAATTGTGGATTTTTTTAAATCTCACTTCCCAGAGCTTATTTTCATAAACAATAAAATAAAGGAACTAGATTCTATGACTCTAAAAGTCCCTTCAAACTTGGAAGGTAAGAGGAACCTCCCACTAGTTAGGGCCTACACCATACTACCAAAGTTTTTTTCTAAAATCAGAAAGTACCTTATTGAGATAATATATTTTAAAACCTGATATTTCAACTGGCATTCTACACTTGTATTCTAGAACACATAAGATGATTCTAGTCATGCTAGTCTCAATTCTTTCACAGAGTGGATAGCAAAGTCCATGCTAGAAGGTACTTCTGGACCAGAAACCAAAGGAAATAATTTGTTGCATACAAGTCATGCCCATAGCCCACTGTAGTCTAATTCTCTCTTGGAGTTCATTTGGAAAAGAATACAATTGTCCTTTGCTTCTATTATGTGGATTTGGAATAATTTGACTCAATCCTTCTGAAACCTTATGAGGAAGTCCATGCCTTGCTCAAACGTCTGCAGAGTCCTAGGAGACCCTGCTTCCTGCCCAAGACTCGCTAAGATTTCTGGCTCTTGCTAAGTATCACTAATACATTTTTTACTCTCACTATGTTGTTTGTGTCCAGGTGATAAATACATCCCCATCCCTCCATCTAACCGAGGGAAAACAGCTATCTCCAAAGCAAAAAACTCTAGATTATGTATTACAAAAGTTAAAACAGAGCTAACAAAGTAGATCTTTAATCCGTTATTCCTTAGATGTTTAATCCCAACATTCTTGCTAGTGATACTTTGATTTTTTTTAACATAGTAATCTGAATCTCCCTAACGAACACCTTGATCTCTGTGTTTTCTTTTTCTCTCATTCTTGGAGTCAAACCCTAACCCTCACATATGCCAAGCAAACACTCTAACATGGATCTCCATGCCCAAACTATTGAGCTACTTTTAATACTGCACTAATTTGCTTAGGAATACAAATTCCTTGTAGACGTCAACACAGTTCCTGGAAAGGGATAGAATGGAATATCTCATACTAATGAATAAAAGAACCCAAAAATTGATGTGGTAAGAACTGAGGCAACCATTATTTGTCTGTCACAAGGTGAGGTGGGCAAGGAAGAGCTGCCCCCGCTCACCTTCACTCATCACTACTACAGGTGAGAAAGCAGGTCCTGGGGTCTCAAAAGTGGGAGAGTTGACCCTGCCCCTCACCAGCTGGAGCAGTCAGGAGAGCATGCCCTGCTGGGCAGCACGCTAGTGTAGATGGACTTTTCTCTCCCACCCACCAGTTCCCAAATAACTGACTCAGAGATTTAACTAAAAATTCTCGGCTGATAGCTTGGGCTTATTACTAACTAGCTCTTATAACTTAAATTAACTCATTTCTATTAGACTATATACTTCCATGTGGTTTGGGGTTGCTCCCTCTGCATCTCCTAGAGCCTCCTCTGACTCCACCCTTCCTCCCAGCCTTCTCCCTGCCCTGAAAATTCTGCCTAGCTATCAGTCAACCAGCTTTTTATTACCAATGAGAACAACACAGTTTCACAATGTACAGAAGGATTATACCACAGCTGACCGTGTTGGCGAGGCACAG